TATATATATATATATATATACACACACACACACACACACACACACACACACACACACACACACACACACACAGTTACAGTCCATCGCTCTCTTCTAACCCTCATCACTAGTCTCTTATTTGGGTCAGAGTAAATTACTAAAGTGAAATACTTCAGTAAAACAGAACAATAACATTGCTAGTAAAACATTAGAGTGTAGAGTTTTTAGCTTTCACAGCTGAATGTGAAAGATTTTTTTACAGCTGAATGTGACATAAATGCACTGAAATCAGATTGAGTGAACGCTGCTCCATCATAATTATTTATCTTTCATTTTATGATTTTGAAGGTCATTAAAGTACAACTCTAGTATCTCAGACTTATGGATATCCACAAGCGCATGAATAAATCATCTTTGGTGCTTTTGATCACAGAGTGTGTTTGCTGTGGAGCGAGTGAATTTGAATTGAGATTATGTTTATATAACTACATCTCAATCATTCGGAGACATATTTGGGCCCGTGGTTGAGATGCACTGTTGTTGAGGAGTAAATGAAATGATCTGCCTGTGTTTGTCTGTGTGTAGTTCACTGCAGGAGCAGAAGGAGGATCTGCGCAGACATCTCGGCTACATCACACACAAACTGCAGCAGCTGCAGAGCGAGTTCGAGTCAACGCGTCAGTATCTGGAGACGGAGCTGCGACGAGCTCAAGACCAATTCGACAAATTCACTGAGAAACTGCGCAGGTCCGAGAAACACGGTCACTGAATGAAGCAGCCGAGAATTAAATATTGTGTCTGAATGAAGTGCTTAAAGTCACCGTACAGATTTACAGTCACACACAATGATCTGAAACTAACTAGTCAAGTCAAGTCTTATTTCAGCACTTTATACAATACAGATTCAAAGCAGCTTCACAGAAATAACAAGGAAATGAGCAGAATCAATGATGGGAACTCAACAATGGAGTCAAAAAAAAAGATTCCAGTACGAGAATGACCTGGAAAAAGTTGTCCATGCCTATATTTTTTACCATTTATTTTATTGTAGTGCTCTTTATGTTGGGACTTGCCAAACATACGTTGCTCGCTTGCAGCTAGTACAAAATGCTGCTGCAAGGATGTTAATGAATGCTGGGAAAACGGATCATGTTACTCCATTGTTCTCTTCTTTAGGATGGCTACCAGTTCAATTTAGGATACAGTATAAGATTTTGATAAATGTTTTTGAGTTGATTTTTTTGAGCCCATTGGCAGATATTTGTTCTTGTTTTGATAAATTTCTATCATTCTGCATCTCCAGTAAATGTATCTGGATTTTTGAATGTTTATTTTGCCGTGACGGTCGACTGCAGCTCAGAACTCAATCTGTCTAATGATGCTGTCGAGCAATTCAGTGTTTTTCCTGAATGTGGCATTTTCTGTGTCCTCATTAGTCCAAGTTTCTTAGTGAAAATACAAATGAGACCCCAGAGACAATGTTCAAATCCTTACGACAGGCCATTCATCCACATTCAGCTCTTTCTAAACTCAGAGACGACGTCTACATTCACTCTAAAACACAGTCATCCTCTGGAAACACACTGGATGCTGTTCAAAGACACTTGAGCATCTGACTCTTCAGACCTCATCGCTTTCAGTTTTTTAGTAATTGGCTCACAGGGGATTTGACACACACACACACACACACTCACACACACACACACAGATACACACGTCATACACATTCGACACACACACCTCCACCCTGGACAACAATGTGCTGACTGCAGTCTGTGTAAGGCCATTGTCACACACACACACACACACACACACACACACACACACACACACACACACACACACACACACACACACACACAGGTTAAACTCACATGTAAAACTCTGAAAAATATTCATACAGGAGCTCAGGTGAAACATCAGCACAGGTCACATGACCATGATTGACAATTTCTGGCAACATTGTTGACGCTATTGGAAGAGAACTAACTGAGCTGGACAATGAATCACTGAATCAACAATGAACTGACTTTAACTGATAAACTTTTCTATTATGCTCTTGCATTATCAGCACACATTTTTCCTGTTTAACACTGTAAAGCTGCTTTGACACGATCTGTATTGTATAAAGCGCTATAGAAATAAAGGTGACTTGACATGACTAGATGTTGCCATAGAAACAGCATCATATAAATCACTGCAGTAATTCAGGCGTAGAGAGACGAGTGACGACGTACCTGTGATTCAGCAACAATCACTCGTTCAGTCCAGTGCTGATCTCGGATGAATGACTGCTGTCTAGAAAAGACACATGAGTGTAAGTGCATTGATGCTTTCATCAGGAAAAATCAGCTATTCATTTGAATCATCTTATTTGAGTTTGAAATATAGACAATTATGAAATACTGGTTGATTCTGGTTTATATTAAAGCTGCTTCACAGACTAAATGCTGGCGTACATCCGTCATGTGAGCGAGTGTCTGATTGTTTTAATTACATCCAGAGTCAAACAAAACGAAGTTCTTGCAGATATAAATCCTGTCGAATTAAATCCATTAATCATATGCAAATACTGCTGATACTCCACATGGTTTGTTCAATGAATGTGAGCCAAAGAAGTAAAGGGATTTCTATTTCAACAAACACACAAACAGATGCTTTGAGATGTGCTTTCTTATGAAACTCATCTGATTGATGAGCAGAAATTACAGACTGAACTGAAGCTGACTGAAATGTATTTGTAAGGCACTTTTCACAATTACATTTCCAAAGCAGCTTTACAGAAAATCTTCATGTTAAAGTTGATTATATGTTAAAGGGATAGTTAATTAAAATTCTTCCATCAATTACTCACCCTCAAGTTGATCTGAGAGTCCACACAGTTGACGGTACCCATTGATTTCCATGTATGTATTTTTGATGTATTACATTGATGTATTTACTATAGAAGTCAATGGCTACCGTCAACTGTTTGGTAACCAGCATTCTTCAAAATAACTTCTTTTGTGCTCAACAGAAGAAACTCATACAGGTTTGGTGAGAGTAAATGATGATAAAATGATCTCATTTTTGGGAGAACTAATCGCTTTAATATCTTCATGCCTTATAGTTGCATCTATCAGATTAGAGCCGGACAATGATGCAGTATAGTACTGAAGTACGTTCATGTTGGTTATTTGTGTTCCAGACTCAACGTCACGAAGAGGAGAAGAGATCTCTGAGTCGAGAGATCGTCACGCTGAAAAACCACCTGATGGAGGACAAGATCACCATCCAGAAGCTGCGAGAGGATAACGTACGTACGACAGACGCCATGCTGAACGTTTCCATCATCCACAGGCTAGTGACGCCTTCACAGCTGAAAATCTGAAATCTGATCAAAGTCGGCTCACAGGAGATGGTGTTCTGATGTTTTCAGTTGATAGTTCCTGACAGGTTTCTCTGATAATATTTATCAGCCTCTGGCGTTGAGATCTCTATGGAGCGAGTGTTTCAGGTTTGAGGAGCAGCTGCTGCTTCAGTGTCCACTTGGTTTCTCTCTAGGTTCACTAGTTAGGGTCCATTGAGCCAGAGATGGTGCCCAGATTCCCTCTCAAACGAGATGTAAAGGCTGATGGACTGGGAAGATTAACATGCTAGTTTGTGAATCATGGGTAACCATCAGAACTTTTCTTGTCAGTTTAACCCACTGTTGCCTAACTAGACTAACTATAATCAGTGTTCACATCAGCCGCATTCAGCTCAAACGAAACGAGGAAAGACATTCGTCTGCTGTCTTTGTCAGTAAATGACAGATGTGTAATATTGATGGATTGAGAGTTGTATATTGAATGATCATTTGCCAAATTAAATCATGTTAGTTTGATGGTTTGTGCTTTTCCTGCAGGATCTGTATAGGAAAGACTGTAATCTGGCGGCTCGACTGCTCCAGTGTGGAAAATCTCCTTACAGAGCGCACAAACTCTCCGAGGTATGGCTGAAGAACACACACACACACACACACACACACACACACACACACACGCACACACACACACGCCGCTGGTTTCTTTCTCAAAGGGAAACTCATCCTAAAAATAGGACAACCTTAAAGAAAGTCAGAGGCGCAACGAATCCTTTCCATTTTCATTCTGCAGTCGCAGGTTTAAAATCCATCGGTTTCATTCTGTCTCTTTCTACCGGAGGCCAGATGGGTTTCTTTGAATATAAACTCTCTCTGTTATGTTTAGTGGCAAAGAGAAATGCGCTGGATCTATTGCTTACAGAGTCTGTTTACAGACAAGCTCCATGTGCTGTTAATCACAGAGAGAACAGAGCGCTCTTCCCATAATGCAGCTCTGTTGTGTCCTTCTGATGGACTACAGAGGACGATGAGGTCGGATGAAGGTTTTCTTCATACGATTCATCATACGTGCCATTTATATCCATCAGAATAAAGGAAGTTTTATGAGCAAAGTTTCTGGGTGAATGCAATAGTTTTGCGAGCGAACGCAAGTTTCTTAGGGAACACAACAGTTTTGGGAGAGAAAGCAGACTTTCTTGAGGGAATGCAATAGTTTTGCAAGACAATGTAGAAGTTTTGCAAGCAAATGCAAGTTTCTTATGGGAATGCGACAGTTTTGGAAGAGAAAGCAAACTTTCTTGGTGGAACACAATAGTTGAGTGAGAACTATGGAATAGAGATCTCATATTTCCCTCACCATGTCCCTTTATGGGCGCTATGGAAGAACGATGCAAGTATGATTTCTTATTTCCAACACATTTCTTCTCTTGTAGTGTCTTGTCTGTATTAAGAGTTTCACTGTGTGTTTGTTTTAGCTTCCCGCTGATCTTCAGGAGCGAGTGAGCTCCCACATGCAGCGGCAGGGTCAAGGCTGGAGCGCAGCGCTGCATCACTCCTACTCAGACGCCGTTCCCACCGCCGTCATCGGCTGGGTCCTGGAGAAACCTAAGCCTGGGAGAAGCTGTCCGGTCACACGCTCGCCAAGCCCGCAAGCCCCAGAATTCCCATCCGGCACGGACAACAAAGTCCAGCGGCACACGGCGTATAAGTCGTCTGACCTGTACTGCAGCGACACGGCGCTGTACTGTCCCACCGATGAGCAGCTGCGTGACCGCTGGACGGAGAGACGGCAGAGCGCGGACCAGAGCGGACGGATCCGAGGACACACGTCCACCGACAGCAACCTGGACGACGAGAGCTTCCCTCTGCATGAAGACCCTTTCTGTGGGTTTTCCTCCAGCTGCAGCACAGCCTCGGATGAGAAGCTTCACAGTTCGTCTTTGTGCACAAACTGGTATGATGGAGACTATGAGCGCAAGAACTTATCCTCATATGGAAAGGAACGTCCAGGTTTTCCCAAGTCAAGCAGCTCCCAGCATATGGGCTCACAGAACGGCCGATCCGGAGACAGACGCGTCCTCGTCCCTGCAGACCCGACGGATGGCTGGCGGCAGATGAGCATCGAGGACATCAGCAGCTTCTCGCCCTTCAGTTTCCCAGAGCGCCACTTCACGGCCGGTCCAGCCAAGATCAAACCAGGTCCTCTTTACAGCAGCTTCCAGGAGGAAGACAACGTCTTCCGCAGGCGCGTGCCAGATCCACGATTCCCTGCGTCGGCGGGATCGAGTCCTGCGCTGAACCCGAAGATGAGTCTGAATGCGTTGAAGGCCGAGAGAGGACTGATGTTTGGCTCAAAAGGTTCGACAAGCAGCTTTTTCATGACTGGAAACGCCAAAGACAAGGAGAACGTGACTAAAGACACTTTACAGAGTCCCGGCAGTTCAGCGGAGTCACTAAACCACGATCTGGACGTCCAGAAATACAAAGATCTTAAAAACCCCGGAGCTCAGAAGATGATGCAACAGCATCAAAAGTTTGGAAACGCTGGACTCAGTCGCAAAAACAGTCTGACTAAAGCTCAGCTTTATGGAACGCTGCTTAACTAACAGTCAGTAAAACGTACTGCAGCAAAATAAAGAACAATATGTGAACATGTTTGCAAACCATTTGACTGTTGTCATGTTGAGTTTTACTGGATAGTGGAAAGAGTCTTGGTTGATTTTACATCTGAAGTGTGTGTTTCCAAAGACTTGTACTGTCTCTTCCGCCCCTCATCTGTCATTGGTCGTTCAGACAGATTGTCCCGCCCCAAACTCATCTGATTGGTTGAGTCAGAAGTTGACATTTTGGGCCACTCAAACAAACAGGTCTATGCTGTTTACATACATACAGAGAATTTACACAGTGGATTACTGTCACAATAACAGCAGCATCAAAGGAAAAAAACTGCAATTAACCAAATAAATTATCCAGGGAAAACCTTAAAATGAATTAACAAGAGAAAAGGTTTCAAGTCGCCTTATTACTTCTTGCAACTTTAGAGTCTCAATATATTGCATCAGTTCAGGTTTAAATGGTATATTGGTTTATTTTTTACCCATTTTTGTTTGCGTATATGTATGTGTATATAAATTAATCACCAAACATTGTTCCAAACTCTTATTCTTATACAAAATGTATATCTTTACCAATTAGTCAAATGTTTATTTTAGTGATTAAGTATTATCCGTTGGGTGGCACAGAAATGACATACTTCAGCTTTAATGAAGGCAGTAATTAATTAAGCTTGTGATTCTTCAGATTTCTCAGTCTAATTCATCAGGTCCAATCTGAACCATTCTCTCTTTAGACAAAATCAGAAACTAACAGTCATAAAAGTCACAATACAGTTTGTTCTGTTATTAAAGCAGCTCCTATGTTTTAAAAATGATTTGATTGTAAATATTTGTTAATATTTCATCTTTAGGACTACAGCAGATCAACACACGTCATTTCAGAGTTTTTCTGTCTGTCAGTGATATCGAAGCTTGTTCTGACTGTTTGTATAGTCGTTTAATTTTGAGTTTATTTTATTGGTTGAGACGCATCATGTGACTTAGGTTAGAGGTCATGGCAGCCATCTTAGATTTCACTTCACAACAGCAGTGATGCAGCAGTAGATTTCTCCCTGATAAAAGCTATATTCTTGTTATTTCATGCCAGAGGCCATCGTCTGTAAGTTTAATTGTTTATTGAATTTCATCTGTTAAAAATAAAAAGAAACATTTGTTGTACATTTGAATAAGAAGATTGTTGTTCTCGCTCACATATTAACGCTAGATTGTATTTCCTTTCTTAAAAATTACTTTTACTCATACTTTATACTTAATGTATGTTTTGTGTTTGCATTATAGTTTCACAAAAAACGATGTAGTGCAACTGAAGATTTCAAGTAAAACACTGGAAAAGAACTCCTTCAGTTTCGACTTTTTCTTCAGCCCTCATCCTGTTTAACTATCTGTCGAGGTGCAACTTACTTGCAGCAGGGACAGAATAGTGAAAAGACGAAGCCTCTTCAATTCAGAAAGAAGACGGAATCTCTGCAATTAAGCAACAAAGTCTGCTCTCACGTGAAGTCTCTTCTCATATCTTATTCTTCTGCATTGTTTCAGTCTGCATACGAGAGATACGATTTATGCATCACATGTCGTGGAGAGTGAGAGAAAATCAGAGAATGAGAATATATTGGAAACTAGATCTGTTGTTACACGTTCAACAACATCATCTAAAAGGTCTAGTAGGACATCGGCGAGCATGGCTGCAGCAAAAGCACAAGCTAGAGCTGAAGCTGAGCGTACACGTGCATATTATGTCAAGAAAGAAACTGAATTGAAAATTGAGAAAGTTCATATGGAAGGCAGTCTTACTGCGTTAGAACACGAAAAAGAGGCTGCTGCTGCTATGGCTGAGGTGAGAATACTGGAAGAGGCTATAGAGAGCATGGAGGGAGGCAGTTGTCATTCAGCCAAATTGCTCCTCCTATAGACCCTGTTCAACGCACTAGTGATTATGTGGAGCAGCACTCAAGTCACTCCATTACAGTTCCTCCTGAGGAAGCAAGTTTAGCTACCACACATGTTGAATTCGTAAACCGTTATGAAAATGAAAACAGATTATTACCAGAAAGCTCTCTAGGGTGTGCTCCACCCGACTGTGTTAAAATGGTCAGTGATTCAGTCTCGAAGCCAAATGCTGTCAAGATTGAAAAACCTCAGTTTGCCACATACAGCCCAAATAATTACTGGCCCCTTGCACAGACTTACCATGCCACCACTCCTGTTCAGTCACCTTTCCAAGAAGAGGCTGAAATGAGTGATTTAGCAAGGTTTCTTGCCCGTCGTGAGCTCATTCATTCCAGGCTCATAAATTCAATGACCACCCAGAAAATTACTGGGCTTGGAAGTCGTCCTTTTTAAATGCCACCAGCGGGCTCAAACTTACTTCCAGCGAACAGCTGGATCTTCTGATTAAGTGGCTGGGCAGTAAGTCATCAGAATACGTGAGACGCATTAGGTCAGTGAATATAAGGTATCCTGATGTTGGGCTTAAAATGGCTTGGGACCGTTTAGAGGAGATGTATGAATCCCCTGAGGTGGTTGAGAAAGCACTTTTTGACAAGATTGAGAAATTCCCAAAAATCAGTAAACAAGATCCTCTGAAATTACAAGAGCTCGGAGACCTGCTATGTGAGATTCAGTTGGCTAAAGTGGAAGGTTACTTGTCAGGACTTTCATACTTGGACACCTCCAGAGGAGTCAATCCAATTGTGGAGAAGCTCCCTTACCACCTACAAGAAAAATGGATTTACCAAGGTTCGGAGTACAAAAGGAAGTACAAAGTTACCTTCCCTCCATTCTCTTTTCTTACTGACTTTGTCTGTCAGGAAGCACGTGCTCGAAATGATCCAAGTTTTAGAATTGGTACATCCATAATAAAACAGATTGAAGCAGAGTCTTTGGTTAAAAAGCAAATGCAAAGAAGGATCCCTGTGTCTACCCATAAAACGGGCGTGGCATCATCAGTGGGATTTCCTCCTACAAGAAGTTCTGATAATGAGCCTACTGATGTAGAAAAGCAGTGTCCTATACATAAAAACAAACCTCATCCTCTGAGACATTGCCGTGGGTTCAGAGCAAGGACTCTAGAAGAGAGGCAAACACTGCTTAGAGAAAACAGTGTGTGCTATAGGTGCTGTGCTTCCACCTTTCACTTGGCAAAGAACTGCAAAGCAGTAATTAAATGCAATGAATGTGAGAGTGATAAGCATGTCTCCACGCTTCATCCTGGTCCTCCTCCATGGGCCATTAAAGACCCCTCATCAGATCATGGTGGGGAGGATGATAAAAGCTCTTCTGCTAATGTCACTTCGCAATGCACAGAGATTTGTGGAGACAGTCCAATACCCAAATCATGCTCTAAGATATGTCTGATAAGAGTATATCCTGAGGGCTCTCCAGAGACTATGGTGAAGATATATGCGGTGCTCGACGAGCAAAGTAACAGATCTTTAGCTAGATCTGAGTTTTTTTACATATTCAAAGAGCATCCATACACTCTTCGAACCTGTGCTGGAGTGATGGAAACTTCTGGAAGAAGAGTCACTGGGTTTCAAGCCGTATCTATGGATGGAAAGGTACGTGTATCACTCCCAACACTTATCGAGTGTAATTACATGCCTGATGACCATTCTGAGATTCCATCTCCCACCATTGCACATCAGTTTCCCCATCTGAAGTCTATCGCTCATGAAATACCTGAGATTGATCCATGTGCTCAAATATTGCTACTCTTAGGGAGAGACATTATACAAGTCCACAAAGCAAGGAAACAGCTCAATGGTCCGAACAAGGCACCATTCGCCCAAAAACTCGATTTCGGTTGGGTGATAGTGGGAAATGTTTGCTTGGGGTCAGCACACAAACCTAACACAGTTGATGTGTTCTGCACAAACATACTTCACAATGGACCCAAGCCTTTGTGAGCCATGTCCTAATCAGATACAGGTGAAAGAGAAGCTAAGCAATAAAGATCATGCTGTCTCTTCTCAAGGCTGTCATTTGTATTCAACCACTTGTACTGAGGACTTGTTGGGCAACGATATCTTTAAACGGACACAAGATGATGAAAAGGTAGCCCCTTCCATTGAAGATCGAGCGTTCATGGAACTGATGGACAAGGAAATGTTCATTGATAGCTCTAACAGCTGGGTGGCACCTCTTCCTTTTCGAGTTCCACGCCAACGGCTGCCCAACAATAGGGACCAGAGTATGAAACGTCTCCTGTCACTCTGTCAGACACTGAAGAGAAAGCCTCAAATGCAAGAACATTTCGTTACGTTCATGCAAAGGATTTTTGATGCAGGTCATGCGGAACTAGCTCCACCTGTAAAAGAAAATGAGGAAGTGTGGTACCTGCCTATATTCGGTGTCTATCACCCTCGTAAGCCGGGACAGATTAGAGTCGTTTTTGACTCTAGTGCCCAGTACAAAGGTCTTGCGCTGAATCAAGTGCTTCTCTCCGGACCTGTCCTGAATAATTCCTTACTGGGTGTTTTGCTGCGTTTTCGAAAAGAGGCGGTAGCGTTTACTGCTGACATCGAGCAGATGTTCCATAGCTTTGTGGTGAGAGCGGATCATCGCAACTTTCTCCGCTTCTTATGGTTTGAGGACAATGACCCTTCTAAAGATGTCAAAGAATATAGAATGAAGGTCCATGTTTTTGGGAATAGTCCCTCTCCTGCGGTCGCAATCTATGGACTTCATCGTGCAGCTCAACATGGGGAACTTGAGTTTGGGAAAGATGCAAGAGCCTTCGTAGAGCGTGACTTCTACGTGGATGATGGCCTAAAATCAGTGCCCACGGCTGAGCAAGCAGTTGATCTGTTGAAAAGAACTCAGGAGATGTTGGCAAGTTCCAATCTGAGGCTACATAAGATAGCATCCAACAGTCCTGCTGTAATGAATGCCTTTCCTGTGGAGGATCATGTGAAAGACCTCAAGGATCTGGATTTGGAAAAGGATACTCCACCTATTCAGAGGAGCCTTGGTCTGAGCTGGAATCTTAAAGC